TGTATGTCATCCATAACAGTTGATGCCATTCCTACCCATCCACTGTTATCTTAGTAAGGCAACGACCTTTTACCATACCAGATAACAGTGGATGTCATCCATAACAGTAGAGACTATTCCTACCCATCCACTGTTATCTTGGTAAGACAACGACCTTTTACCATACCAGATAACAGTGGATGTCATCCACAACAGTTGAGACCATTCCTACCCATCCACTGTATCTTGGTAAGACGACGACCTTTTACCATACCAGATAACAGTGGGTGCAATCCATAACCGACTCACCATTTCCATACGATATGCCATCCATCGATTGTCGTCATTACGACAGCTTTGTAACAAGAGTGAAATGCGTACGAGCAACGAAGCTTCTAGAAACACCCTCTTCGTATCTGTATTGCTACACGATTACGCATGGCTTATTATTTCACAAAAATCAGGACGATTTCTCGCGTTTTCTAACCTTAATTTCTCGTTACCTGCGTCGAATAATGGAATTTTGTGACGAACGAAACGTTTGCAATTCCCAAACAAAAACTCGACGATTCCCGGCATAACTAGAACACGTAAAAAAATATTATCTCAAGATGTTTTTATTTAACTTTCTTTCGCAACATTACAATACTTGAAAGCCTCCGGTAAAGATAAACCACTTTTTAATGGAAATTTCCGCTTTACATTAAAAATACAATCATCTACCAATACAACACTCGTCAATACTGTCTCCTGGGCAACGAGACGGCACGAGTGATTTTTTTCGTTACAGTTTTCACGTGCTCGTAAAGTTTACGTCATGGAGAGAAAAATAAATCCTTGATTGCGTCAAAGTAAAATGACGTTGCGGAAAATCTTACAGGAGTCAAATTATCGTTGTAAATTTGCTGCGAAATGGCTCAATTTATCTCGGAAAAACGAAAGTGTGGAGTGGAGTGTTTGGCTTCAGCAGAGCTTGTCTTTTCCAGTTGCCACATGTTCGCAAAGACTAACTGTAAGCGCGGTGAAACGTGTTTCCATTGAAGTGGAACGAATGGTTTCAGCGGGTTTCCCCCGCAACGGTAACCAGGACGTATAAATATAGTTTCGAGTCGTGCCACGCATGTCAAACTATTAGACGTGTCACGCAAACCATGTCACGCTTCTTATCGCTAATGCAATCATCTCATTATCGCCTCGTATCTCTTAATTATCCTACGAAATCATGTTTTCTAGAAATGTAGGGTTTTTTTACGAGCAGAAGTTTAAGCTACTTCACAGCTACAGTAATTTTTTAAAAGGAAATAAACGGATGGAATCGTAAAAATTATCGGAATGACAAACATACATGGTTAAAACAAGCAAAAATAGTTAAATTTTGAATTAAAATTTATACCTCAAAACTTTGAGTTCCTTCCTCATTTAGGCTAAGGGATGAGCCATTAGATAACTTCTCTTTTATGTTTGTTCGAGATTTCTTTTGAAAGGAGAAGTTGCTCGACTATTGCTTTCGTGGGTGAAGTGCTAGCTTGATTTTGCGGGGATTTAAGCACCCCTCCCCCCCTCAAATATTTAATGTCCGTCCCTAAGTAAGTATTAACCTTTTTAGCGTTTTTAAGAGCTGAAGGCTGGACCACAGACCCTGGAATTCAAACTTCGGACGTTGAGCCCATTTCATGGACTGTGTACTTTCTGAGAATAAGTCGTCTTTTTAAACGCAGTCTTGTGATCTTTTGGCAAAATTTCTTGCAAGAGTTTCCTGTCATACGTTTTCTACGAAACAATTTGGTTCAAGTCACGAAGAACAAACGTGAGAATCATGAAAAATAAATAAGTTTGCATGACTCGTGTTTTGTATGTGTGTTTACGTAAGAAACAAGAAGGTTTTACAAAGTCATAAGGGATCGATCCTTTTTTAGCTGGGAGGGGGTACCTAACATCCAAAATATCTGCGTTTTTTAAAGAAAACTTCCAATAAAATATGCATATAGTTTACATTTTGCAGCTGAAAAGCCTCGTATTTTTTTACAAAAAAGTTCATGTGTCTGGAGACTCTTTATCTAAATTTAGCACATTTGTAAAAAAAAATTTAATATGGTAGTATTTTTTTATATTAAAATCTAATTTTATAATCTTTTCTTATGCTAGAGTACAACATTAAAAGCGTGCAATACTTTGCACTATTTAGAACTAAATAGCACTAATTACATAACAGAAAACAATAGAATTAGCACAATTTCAGTGTTGAGTACTATTTATGTTGCACACTTTTAGTGTTAGTACTCTGTTTAAAGATTTTTTTTGCATTAGGTCAAAATTCAAAACGTCAAAAATACTTATAAAGTTTCGTGCAAGTTTTCGTGTTAACTGACCATACGCTTTTTTATGATGCGAATTTGAAGCCAACAGAAAAATTGCGATAATTATCGTGCCTCAGATTTGAGCTCATGAAATAATTTCAGTATTTTTGCAAAGAGCGATCGTGCAAAAGTTAGAAAACAGGGTAAACGGGTTTTGATTTACGTAAGAGGAGATAAAAAGAGTGAAAAAGTGAGTATGCAAACATGCAATAAAATGTGTGCATTCTAACCTTGACACGAGTAAATATAATTATCGGCAGGTCACGAGCTCTTAAAAAAAATCACATTTATGGAAAGCCTAGAAGAATCACGGAAAATGTAGAACTACTTTCACAGGGAATTTGAGGGAATTAGTCCTTTTTACTGCAAGATCTTTATAGAAAGCATTCCTTTTTATGTCATACTTATAAAGTCACAAGTGGCACTTTTGGAGTTTTTCACGAGTTCAAGGTTTTCACACACAAGTCAGCAGACCGTCACGTTCCTGTATTTTCTTGATACGACGAGCTTAGCCGAACCCAGAGGACCGTTCAACTCGAAATTCCATCAAAAACGCCAGAATTCGGAGAAAAAATCTATTTCAAAAATCTATTTCAAGGATTCCCCTAATTTTACCGATTTGTCTAAATATAAGATTTTAGCGAGCTTCAACCGAGTGTTTATAGCGCTCTACAACATCTTGAAGAAACGTGACAGCTGATATTTTTATTTACCAATCTACGCAAACACCACAGCCGGTACTCTTGAAATCTGATTGGCTAAGGAGACAATGCGTCAACGAGCCCAGCCAATCAGCTGACGGTAATCGGTTGTCCTACGCTTCGCGCCATGGCATTTCTATTTCCGTTGGTATATAATCGAACATTACTTCATATAAACAGGAATTTCAAAACACAATGACAACGCAATGTGTTTGAGCATCATATAAGAATTCAAAGTCCGACGTTCGAAAAACAGTTTAAAAGTGCAGAATATTATGAAGACATCCCAAAAAATCGACATCTGTGGTCATTTTCAAGATCTTAAGATGTTTGGGAAGCAACGACTTCGACGCTGTAGCAGTTGCACCGGTTTAGACGCGATCTCATTCCCTTTGTATTCATCGCAAGATACCTGTAAGGGCTGGAAAGGATGGAGCTTTTGTAGAACAAGAAAAAAGCTTGAAAGCACGAAGTCTTTACCAAAAAATCACATATTTTTGGGGAAGATCGAAACGGGACGATTACTTGGCAGCGGTGGTTTTGGAACGGTTTATGAAGGAAACTGTCTTGGAAATCGTGTGGCTGTGAAACGTATGCACAGAATGTTCAGGAAACCGCGCGCAATCTTTGAAAGTTTACAATCAGAAAAACTTGTGCTCCAACTACGACATCCCAATATCGTGCGAACCCTTGCAATAGTGGAATCTGAGAGTCTTACAGACGTTTTAATCATTATGGAGTTCGCTGGAGAACGAAACCTGCAGAGTCTTATCGTTGATGAACGCGAAAATCTCTGCTGTAAAAGACGGGTAAAATTCGCGAGAGACATTACACGTGCACTACAGGTTATTCACGAAAGAAACTTAGTGCACCTGGACTTAAAGCCTGCAAATGTCGTAGTAGATTTGTACGATACGTGCAAACTTGGAGATTTCGGGTGTTGTCAACTCGTGAACCCCGGAAATTGTGAACAAGATTCTCTTCCTCCGAGTCCTACACAAAGCCCCAGCTCAAAATCGTCTTTGACGGGAACGTATGCATACCGTGCCCCGGAACTTTTAAAAGGTGAAGATCCAAGTACTAAGGCGGATATGTACTCGCTAGGGATCTGCCTCTGGCAAATGTTGACCAGAGAGCAGCCTTATGGACTGGAAAGCCAATTTGTAGTCATTTTTGGAGTCGTTGCGAACCAAATGAGACCTTCACTTTCACATTTACCGGTGGAAGAGACGCATGATGAAGCAACCTGCGCGTACGTTGAACTTATGACAGGTCTCTGGAGCGCAGACCGCGACAGAAGACCTTCTGCAAATCAGACTATGGAAGAACTACAATATATTAGAACTTTAAGCAGGGACATTAGCAGAGTTTCATGCGTGAAAAGATAACAAGGAATGARGATAATTCCACGATTATTTTTGGATCAAGTTCGACTCCGCGAGTCGACAGACCATTGCATCATAACTGAATGCGTACTGGATTTTTTAAATTAAGGAATGTATTTTTCCCTGTTTGGGAAAGGTTCTTATCGTTGTAAATAAAACAAATGTGGAGATAAATTGCATGTATTTTTTTATTGCATACGAGGTATAAAGTGCATGACGTTCGTGTGTTTCGTGTTGTGTATTTTGAGCGCTGTCACGGTGATGAAGTATTTGCATAAATTACAAAATATCAGTCATTGTGTCAAAGATGTACCGCGAACATCACAGGAAAAATTAGCAAAAAAACGAGGCTTAATTTACCCAGCGCGGTGGTCTCAAAACAACCATTGTCATACAGCACTGAAAGGGCTTCCTCATCTTCCACACGGAAGCCATTAGAGTGCTACCCTGTGGAAACCCAGTTGAATGCTAACGCTGAATCGATCGAACAAAACATCTTCCCCCGAGGTCTCGTTTCGCTGAAAGTCGGCTTTTTCCCCCAGATGGCTTTATCCGTGAATTCCTAGCACTCATAAGATGCATTTTTTCCTCTTGCGTGGAATTTTAATTTGCGCTCCGCAGACCCCCTCCGAGTGGAAATTAATAAATTTCACTCAAACTGCTTGATTTGCACGCACTAGAGAGTAGAGAGTTTTACGATGAGTCATGGATAGTTTACAACATTGTGGTTCCATTATTGGCGCGTTTGCCCGAAAAAGGCAAAGAAGACGAGAAAAAAATTCCAAAAACGGAGCTGACGAAATTGTTTACGAATTCGTGAGAAAAATATATAAAACCATTTGCTTTTAATGAATTTCTTATAAAAACGTTCTCTTTTAAAATAATATAATAGCTGCCCATTGGAAGATTTTTTGGATTTCCGAAATTTTTCGTCTCAAGTAGTTTTAAAATAACCAACAAAAAAAAAATCTTTTTGATCTCACGTTTTTGTTTGGTATGGTAACAAAGGAACCAAAGAAGAAAAATTTATTTGTGGATTATAAGCCTTATAATCTTTTTTCATAAATTTCTTAAACTAAAGAAGGTGAGATTAGACACCAAAATAAAAGATATTTTGTCTCAAAAATAACGTAATTGTATTTTCATAAAAGAAGAAAAAATTAAAAAAAAAACATATCTAAATGCTTTTCCTGTCGTTTGTAGTTTTTCCTGGAAATCTCCTTCCAGGTAAAATTTACCAAGTAAAAGAAATATTATATGTAAATTTTGATAGTATAATATTGTACTTATTGGTAATATCGGGCAGAGCCGTGCAGAAATCATCAGGATTAGTTTTTTTYCCCTTGCATATGTGTTATTAAATGGTTCCAGTGCCTATAAGTGCATTAGTAGTGCTAAGAGGAAAAATCATAATAGATTGTTTTCCTAGGAAGACTAAAGTATTTTGTTTAAAGCAAAGTGAATTCTGTAGTTTATATCCTTGAAAAATGCAAAATAAAAATAAAAAAAAAGATAAAAACATTAAAGCGCTTCCCAATCACCCGCTTAAAATCGTAATAAAAGATTTCAAGACATAATAGAGTTTTGGTGGATGCCAATCAAAGTGATTCCCAACATTGTCAGAAAATACAAAGCTTTTAGGACATGTGCCTATGCAATGTCATGAAAATGCATTGATTGACATCCACCAAAACCTGCTTCGTCACAATGGCAAATTATACAATTACATGTGTGTGATTTAGAATGTTGTAAATTGAATAAAATGAAATATGCAGCCCTTGCTTATTTTTTTTTTGATAGATAGCATTGTCATGAGAAGACTCAGGGGACATAACTTGAAATTTAAGATAAAAATTAATATATTAACCAATCCAAACCAGAATTTCCCAAACCACTTCATTTCCAGGTCTACTTTAGATGATCAGATATATGACAATCAATCAAAGATGTCATGAATGGAAAAGCTATCACAAGAGATTAATTTACTCACAGTAAAAGTATTGGTCATGAAAGATGAGCTTTGAAAAGTGCTTACATAACTCAAATTCAAAATATTTGGTCATCTAATTATTGCTTGTATTGATTATGTGTCCAGAAAATTCACATAAATCAATAGATAAATAAAATTTTTAGTGTTGCATATATATATATATATTTTTAGATTTACTCACAGTAAAAGTATTGGTCATGAAAGATGAGCTTTGAAAAGTGCTTACATAAGTCACATTCATGTCATGTAAATCCTGTATTAAGGTCAAATTTGAAATGTAATGACTGGTGCTAAAGTTATGATCCTAAAATTAGTAAGAGCTTACTCCGCAAAGATCACAAATTTCCTCTAATTACTAAGATTATTTTGACTTCTTAAACCATGAAGTTATTTTTTTTAATTTTCAAGAAGTATGAATGAAGTTTATTTTAAAAAAAACATGGCCAGGTTGATTCCTTTGTTGACCTCAGTTGAGTCATATATCAATAATTATTGTGGCATAAAATACAACAGTTTTGGTGTACATGCAAACTGTGCACTGCAACTGCTTTAAAAAATGAAATTTTTGCACACGACTTTACATAGTGAAAGAAGTGAGACAGCAATGGTGAACATATTAAAGGTTTTGCAAATCACAGTGCTCACACACACAAAAAGAAATTTTAAAAATTGGGACATGCAACTTTGCATGACATTTGGGTCAAACTAATGAAGCATTAGAGAAAATGTTAAGACAATAAAGCTGAATTAATGTATTTTGTACTTTTCTCAAAAATGTAAACACAGTGTAAACAAAAACAGTACATTGAGGATGCTTGAACCATGAAAACTTTGATTTTTTTCCAGGTTTTTATTTCCTTAACTTCCTACTTTTTCAACCCCTCTAAAATGAAGCACTGAGTTTAAATATGAAGAGAAATCAAATAAATCTTATTTCCAAATGATTGGCTAAAGGGATGATTTACAGTATACATTTTAAAAAAGTGACAAAATCACTAGAAGTATTCACTTTTCGAGTGTCTTCACTGTAACTGTACATCTAACCTTTTATAAAGATTACTGTCTTTGAAGATCAATGGAAAACATTTTCTCTGCATCTAAAAAATGTAAATTCTTAAGAATAACAAAATAAAAATATTTTTGGTGGAATTTGTGAGTGAGGATGAGAAACAGACAAGAATATGTGAAAATTATACACTGTATTAAAAAGAGTGCTTAGTAGTGATAATATTAGTTTTAATTAGGAGAGAAAATGTGTTGAAAAGAAATTAGAAATAAAACTAATTTTGCATTCCAACTTAATGAACAGGAAGCAGGCTAGGTTTGGATGGTGATGATGAGGCATCTTCACTCATTTGACAAGACAGCCCAGTGGCGGATCCAGGATTTTTCAAAGGGGGTTCCGTTTCTTAAACTGTTTATAATTCTCTTTTGTTTATTTGAAGTTGACAAAAAAATTGGCTCTAATCACCTAATTTACTATCTAGTAACAGAACTTAAAGGTAAATTAAACATCATAACAGCAAATATCTATCATTTTGTGTTCAATATTATCTTTGTAGATACTTTTAAGCAACATTTATATAAGACATATTTCTATTACCTAAAAGATCAAATCTTCAAGGGGGGTTCCGTGGACCCCTTTGACCCCCCTGGATCCGCCACTGCAGCCATATTGATGTATCAAACATAGAAATTTTCTGTGCAGTTTTTTGCATAAAAATAGAGTTCAATTCCCCGAGAATAGAAAATGTGTTGTTTTGGTATACCAACATGGCCGCTGTGACGTCACATGAAAACTCTCTACATTAAAAAGCATTTGAATGGCATATTATGAATGTAGTTTAAGGTTTAGAAAAAAAAGGGATAACAATGATTTGAATGGAAGAGGAAGTTAAAAAATGCAAGATCAAGACATATTGGGAATCTGGAAATTGTAAAGAAATGATTTATCTACTTTACATGGTGAACATTCAAATTTTATCAATAGACCTCTTTGCAGCACTTTGGAAAGCAGCTCAATCCGGGTGACAAAATGCATAGGTTTAATTCCCAGATTGAAGTGCTTTGATGTCACATGCAAGGGGTCTACACTCTGAAACAACCTGAGCTGATCTAAGTCAGGTCATAGATAACTCAGGGATGGGGGAGACGGGGTGGCTGGTGGGGCTTTAGCCCCCCCACTTTTTGTGAGAATTACATTTTGATTTTGTCTAATTTTTGGGTGTTGGGATAAGAAGGGGAGAAGAGGACTGTAGTCCCACCCACTTTAAAAGCTGTTCCGCCGTCCTTGTAACTCACAGATCAAATCCTAAAACAACCTCTGGGCTGGTCTAAGTCAGGGCATGGCTAACTCACAGATTGAACCCTGAAACAACCTCTGGGCTGATCTAAGTCAGGGCATGGCTAACTCACAGATCTAACCCTGAAACAACCTCTGGGTTGATCATAAGTCAGGGCATGGCTAACTCACAGATCTAACAATGGGTAACTAGTGGACACATAACAATGCACAACCAGCACACCATACTGGTATATTGGAATAGCAAAAAAAAGAACAAAAACAAAAACGCACACACGCACTATTTAAGAAGATCTAATTAATTATTATTGACGAACAACAATGATTTAAAGAAGATCAAGTGATTTTCAAAAAGTACTCACTCTGTGTTTGCAGGGTGTCTAGATCTGGTGAATAATTAATGTCATTGACAAATCTAGCAGGGAAACTCGTAGAAAAATCTTGTAAGAAACGAATGGACCTCTACCTGGAAGTAGCTATTAAAGCTATAAATGCCAAAGATAAAGCGATCGACAAAGATCTTGAAAACTAATGAGAAACTTTGTGACAACAAAAGAAGAAACGAAGATTTGGCGCGCTTTAAAACCATAGAAGGACTAGATCGAGTACTTTGAGCACAGGTAGACCAAACTCGCCAGGATAATGGCAAGAAAAAAAAAGCTAAAATAAACCGATTTTCGAATTTAAATTTGCCACTAGGAATACTAAGCATAAAATTAGAAAGTAAGAATGTAAGTTTTATTTGATTTTATAAATATATAAGCTTAAAATTCCACATCTCTTATATAGTGGTAAACGCACGGGTAAACGCATCATGAAACGACATAGTTGGCTCCCTGTGGTAGGACGAGCAGATCGTCCAAACATGGCGGACGGTGATAACACAGATGAGTTTGATAAAACTCCCTTATCGCCGATCGTGGGAACTCCCTGCGATGAACTAGATGCTGCAGAGCTGTTTGAAGGCCATTATAATAACCAGGATGTTTTTGCGATGGGTGATGAGCAAGATTCTAAGAGTTATTTAAGCTCTTTTGGCGAGAAAAACGACAGCGAGTGTGACTCTGCGAGTTCAGAGTTGGAGGACATTTATTCTGGTGAACTTGGAGTTACTCCACCGAGGAATATACGAAGGAATAAAGAAAGAAGTCGAACTCAAAGGAAAGGTCAAGGATTGTGCTTGAAGATACCGGTGAAAGTGGAGGTCGAGAAGCAAAAGAAACGAGTGCGAGAATCGTCTCAAACTCAGATTCAAAACGAGAGAGCTTTTCAACGTGAATATAAACGAAGTAGTCTGGGAAGCACTTTGGGGAACGAAGACTTGTCTCGATCTTTGAATCTTCCTAACGTCAAGATAGATTCAAAAAATAGATTTATGTCGCTAAAGTGTACGAGACGGGATAATCGAAAGGAAGATTCTCCAAAACACAGACTAACTCGATCTGAATCTGACCCCAAAGACTTAGGCCAATCTTTGACGACTCTTTCTCAATCTCGACAAGAGTTTATACGAACATTCTCTCTTCTGATTAAAATCGGAGCTCATGCACGTAAGCAGAGAGACAGCCAGTTCGCTTCTACTGAACTTGAGCGACAAAACTCCGAGGAGCACAAGAAATGGCAGGTTAAACTTTGCCTTGCTTTGTGGCTGGAGTTGCGTGCTTGGCACGGTGGAAGGACGATGGAAGAGCAAGACAAGTACCTAATGGAAGAAAGGGCTAACGTTGAAGAAGTTTTAGACGAATTTATTAAATTCAATTTAAATAATGTAGTCTCCAATGGAGATGTTGATGATAATTTAACTTCTGTGAAGGATAATGTTGAGCAAATTGTGGAAGATGAAGCTGTGTCATCTGTGAATAATCGAGCACCTGCAACAAATGCTTCTGCAACTCCAACAGTTGTTATTGATGACTATGAATTGAAAGACAGTAATGATAAAAATTCAAATAACGGTAGAAATTCAACTAAAACAGACAATTCACCCAATGAACCTAGAGAGAGTTCTCCATCTTCTGATTCAAAACCAAGGAAAGAAAATTTGAACTTAGATTTGAGTAGTGGTGGAAAAACAAGGTTAAAGTCCTTAAAGAGTGAAGAATGCATGCCAAGATGCAGTACACCAGAAAATGCAGTCCCCAAGGATAGGTTTCGTAAACGATTAGAATTTGCAATTATGGAAATTACGAAATTGTTTGACCAGCTTGAATCAGTGGAAGTACTCTACCCAACAAAACGGGCAGTCGGAGAAGCAAATCCTAAGTATTTGATTTCTGAATTTAATAGGAATGTTGATGCATTATTGTTGTGGCTGAACGTGACCAAGGAGCTACTTCATCAGCTGACATTGATTTCAAGGTTTCTGGGTATTGATCCTGAGATGCAGGACATGTGGCAGGATTGGATTCACATGGGAATGGGGATGCTAGGTAAAGAAATGCACCATGGGGAGGGGGAGGGAAGGTTCGAGGATGTCTCATGGTCAAGGAAAGGAAAAAGCACTATTCTTCATTTGTTATACCAGTCAAGATTTAGGCCCACTTTCTGCTGCAAGGTTTAGGTGTAAGATCTTACACTCTGTTGTTATGGCAACCTTCTGGCTTAATCCAACTGCCAGTTCCACGTAGGAAAGTACGCATTACCAAAGGTGTCGCAACTTCTTGTCATAAACAAGGTTTACAACCTTGCACCCTTGCAAACTTACAACCTTACAGCCTTACACCCTTGCAACCTTACAGCCTTACTCCCATGCATGTCAAAACGATTCTGATTGATAAATAGGTCTAGTACAGATTTTTGCAAGTGTGTCATGACGTGGGTTGCTATTGTCACACACCCTCATAGCAAGAATAACCGTTAGACCTTGCAGAGAAACCTAACACCCAAATGCAGACCCTAAACAGGGACACATTTGTCATTTGTAGATGACGTCACAGCTGCCACTTGGTTGAATTTGACAAAAGAATTGTCAATGAATTCTTTTGTTATCAACCAGCATGGCACCGAGTCATGCCTTTTGATATTTCACTCCCTTGGGAATGATTGAAAACCGGTAATGTAACTTAGGTGTGCGATGTAAGGGGAGGGAGAGGGGAGGGACAGGGTACATAGCAACACTGTATAAATATTAATGTATAACATAATCAGCCTTTGGGGAGGAGGGGAGGGGGAGGATGGAGTGCTATGTGACATGAATGTATGTGATAGCTCGTATAGAAAAGGAAAGAATACCCTTGAGGTGAGACAGGAGAGACCCCACATTTGATAAGATGGTTCACAAAAAATTGCCATCCAAGCATGGGTGGCATGGCGGTGAGAGCGCTTGCCTCTCACCAACGCAACCCGGGTTTGAGTCCCGCTAAGCTCAGTATTGTATGTGAGTAGAGTTGTTTGTTGGTTCTCTCCTGTGCTTCGAGGGTTTTCCGTGTTCTACGGCTTTCCTCTCTCTGCAAAATCAACTCCTAAATTCCAATTGCAATTACAGTGGAAGAAGAGCTACTCTGTAGAAATGTCACTGCTAAATCCTATTTATTTTTATTTATTTTATTTTATCTTGTCTTTCTTCTATTCTTCTGAAAGGTGGAAGCACAGAGAGCGACTCTTGTGTCGCAACAAGCACCACCTCAGAAGAATCTTATAGCTCGGGATCAAGTGAGTCTCTTGATGAAGAATTACCATCCACCCCTACGTGCAAGCGACAGCTCTCCCATGAAACCTGGAGTCCAAAACCACCAATGAGAAGTGGCAGCAACATCTCACAGTTTACCTGGACATTGACGTCACGCTATAGGCCTTTTGTCGACAGAAGTATTAAGAAATTTGGACTGGTTAAACTTGGTAAAAGAATAGGAGATATCCTAGATGTAACGCTACTTAAAACAAGGCAAGTTTTGTACCCTGAGGGACCCCAACCAAAGCACAACGATCATTCACAAATGTCAATCAGTGAATGGCATGCATCAGTTTCGCACTTAGAAAACATACTGTATCGTGATGTTGCCACAGAACAGAGGCCAAGGACGCACTCCAGTCCCGTCATAAGGAATATTGTACTGGAAAGAAGTCCTTATATGCTTCCTTGGAAAAGCATCTTTGAGGAACTTGGCCTGCCATCGATCCGAGATCTCTATCTGTTCCTTGCTCGAATTCCTTTGGATATCAGCCATGAGTGTATTAGGTTAAGACTGGAACACAGACCAAAGGGAGAGCCATCTTCTCTTAGTATTAGACAGGTGAGACTCTATACTAGATTTATGTTACATCCCAGTGCCATTCCCTTGAGAATAAGATTCTTCAAGTGAATGACATGTTAGCCCTTTTCAGAGTAACAAAGGATTCTTCATTTAAATTCAACATTAGACAATGTCCAGCCAAAACTGGGACTTGTCCCATCAAATCTTGCCTTGCCGGTCATTTTGACCAGTAACGTTTAGCCAGAAATTAAGCTAAAACTAATTTAGCTTGTGATCATGACTGGCGACTGATCAACTGTTATGGGAAGCACTGGTGGCATGCACTGCCTCTCACTAATGCGGCCGAAGTTCGAGTCCTGCCGATCTTGATCGTATGTGAGTAGAGTTGTTTGTTGGTTCTCTCCTGTGCTTCGAGGGTTTTTATCCGGGTTCTCCGGTTTTCCTCCCTCCTCAAAAATCAACTTCTAAATTCTAATTCAATCTCTGGGCTTTCACCTAGTTTGGAGCCTAGCTCTGTTGTGATTGTCCCGCGCTGTGATACGACAGCGAAAGCTTTGTAGATTTTAAGCCCTGAAATCATATCCATATTCATGTGTCTTTTCATGCACGACTGTCAAACAAAGAAATAATACTCTAGGGAATGACAAGTGGTCTAAAATGGGGAAAATATCTCTAAATTTGCTTGACTGTAAATTATGAAAGTTTACCATATCTCGATGGTATTTTCCTCTTTTCTTTTAGCTTCTGAAGGAGTGTAAAGAGGTAATACTGGGTGCTGTGTTGGTCAAGGATTATTATCTTTGTATGGTGGACGGGATTGTGAGTCCTGAAGACTATGACCATGAAAAACTGGAGAATGACATTGAAGAATTCGAACAAGACTTACAGAGCATGTTAGAGGTGTGTGGTAATGAGGTGTAGTGCAGAAATGCTTCCATAAATTTGTACCTCTCTTAGATAAAAGGAAATGATATAAGGTCCACGAGCTGCTGGTAAAATGATTCCATAATATTAGGATATAAAATATACCCTCCTCAGACCCTCCCTGCCCTTTGAAAATCCAATCCCCCTCTGTGGGGAAGGTATGGATATTTTTTGGAACTACACATTATACCTTCCTCAAATCTTCACTGATGACAGTAATGGTAACTATCTTGTCCTTTCTAGATCCATGGTATCTGAAATCCTTCATCCTAATTCCATTACCTCTTTGTAGAGGAGGTAAAGATATTTTCTCGAACTACACAATATCTTCTCCTCAGACCCTCCCCACCCCTTGGAAAGTCCAACTCCTACTCACAGTCAGTCACTAACATTTTACATTGTTGTACAGGTATACTTTGAATACCTCCACAATGTTATCCACATGCTACAGCGGCTACCACAAGCATCCAAAGGGCTGAAGAACTTGCTAGAAGAGGAATGGGTGTTCGTTAAGCACAAATACCAACACATTAGAGGTGGAGCTGTTGCTGGTGGAACAAGATTTTGGTATGTAGACTGACTGTAGATGTGGCACTTTGGTGGTGCTATGCACCATGGTCTAGCTTGGGTCATTGTCATATAGTATTGCACTGTGCATAAATCATACATTTTTTATAAAAAAACTGAAATGTCCTCTGGGCTGATCAAAGTCAGGGCATAAGTAATTCACAGATCAAACCCTGAAACAACCTCTGGGCTGATCAATGTCAGGGCATGGCTTACTCACAGATCAAACCCTGAAACAACCTCTGGGCTGATCATAGTCAGGGCACGGCTAACTCACAGATCAAACCCCATAACAACTTCTGGGCTGTTCTAAGTCAAGACTCGGCTAACTCACAAATGAAATTTTAATTTAGCAATTTTTTAGCTTTTTAGGTTTTAGATGATGGAGGAATAAGCCAGGAACCTGGAAGACCTCTTCCAGGTCTCTTTGTGCTTTTCCTGGATCTGATGGAAAAACCATTGAATCAAAGGAGATATACATGAACCACTCTCACATGTAATCCAGGTGTCCAGGAGTCAAACCTGAGATCCCCAAGGGGTAGAGCCAAGCGCACTTCCACTACACCAGTGATCCTTTGATTCTCTTGTTGTACCCTAGCCAGACCAGAATGCATTTCAATATCTATCTAAAAAAGCTAAAATTTCATCTTCTAGTGTGATGGCCGCTGGGTTGCTGGAATCTACTGCAGATTTTCTAGAGTCCGGATTAGACCAATGTTGCTCTGATCTCCATGACAACACTGACCACAGTGAAGATGTGAGGTACATGTATACCTTAAATTTTCTTTCCAACCCCTTAAAAATTATCTGGTCTGCCCTTCTCTTCTGGTCATACTTCTCTTATGTGATTGACCTTGTCCTCTGATTGGATATTTATGACTTCATGTTGATGGATTAACCAATCAGAGAAGACCTCATTGATAACATGGGTTTCCTTTGAAATAAAGACACAGGAAGCCCATTTACAAAAGGTTTTGAATGTGAAACAGAAATAGTCCAATGAAAAGCTGTATTTTTCAACTTTGATAGGAAAAAGGTTCTAGAGGCCTGTCGTAGCCTGAAGCACTTGTTCAATGAAGGAAGAGAGAGAGCATCAAAGGCGTTGGGATTCACCAAAAAGCTTAAGATAGACCTGGAGAATGCCGCAAAATTCAGTATCGATGTTCCTGTTAATGAACTTTTGTCTGTGTTAGAGAGGACAGAACACTCCCAGGTATGGTGAAGAGCTATAGAGGATTTTCATATTATGTCACAGTGGCCATGTTGGTGTATCAAAACAATACGTTTTCTATCCTTGGAGAATTGAACTCTATTTTTATGCAAAATATGTTCAGAAAGTTTCTATTGCTTGGTACACCAATATGGCTGCATGTTTTCACATGAGTGAAAACGCTCTATTTCTTCTTATGGACTTACTCATTTGTTATGCCATGTACCCAATTTTTAAACCCTTGAGYATTGTTAAGAGCAGTAGTGCATAACTCTTGATGCATGTATAGCCTCAGTCAATCACTTCAGGATGGAGTTATGCTGGCAGGGTTAACGAAAGTCTTAATTGTCATGGAAGTTCATTAATGAAGTCATGATAGCCATTACTGGCATACTGCGTACATTAAAATAGTCTAGCAAAGGTTCAGTGCTCAAGCATGAATTCTGAAAAAAATGATATTGCAAGACCCAAGTTTAGGGTACTGGGCACACATGATACTGAATTACAGCACATAAATGGTATGTCATACTGTAACATTCAATGCCTTCCCATTGTCTTCCAGTGATACTGTTAAAATAAGATATTGTACAAGTATAGTTTTGTATAGAACAATGTTTATTGCAGTATTATGATCATTCGGGTAGATGTAATCCTGAGAAGGGCTGTCTGACTTTATCTTACTTTATTCTTCACTTGACTCTGAAGATGACTTCCACTCAGGTTTTTGAAACGTCAGTCCCATCAAACAGTCCTTCTCCATTACATCCACCTGGACGATCATAATACTTCAATAAATATAAGTTTGTTACATATGAACAACAATTTTTGTGTTCATTTTCAGGTGGTTGTTGCTCCTACTACTGGGCTATTGATGTTTGTTCCTAAACATTTGAGAGATGACAAATGGTAAGTTTTCAAAAAAAACATAAGCTCTTTTCATTTCTGTTGTTAGACAACACAGCTTGATTTAATAGGGGGTTAGGGTCACCTATAGGTGAGTGCAAATAGCCGTTTTAAAATAAATGGACAAGACAGTAATGAATAGACATATCGTAAATGAAACATGGTTACTTACGCAAGAATACTAATAATATATCATTAATTATTATTATCATTGTCATTGTTTGTCTTTTGTTTTCTATTTGTCTTTGTTTCATCAACCCAAGAATTTTCGTTACAAGCTTTCAACCTCTACGTTCATCTTCAAGGTTTACATGATACGTTATTGTCATTATGATATGGAAAACAAGCTAGCATGAGCATTTCCAGCTTAAAATAATATTTAATTATGATACAATAATTATGAGAATATGTGGACCGCGTAGCACTTACAAAATACATGAAGATATAGAAATATAGATAAGTTATAGAGCTTGGGAACGAGGTTATTCCGGGCGAAAGCCCTTGGAATTAAATTCGGAAAAATTAATTTCCGACCTCGCTGGGAATCGAACCCACGACCTTCGGAATTGTACTACCGATGCTCTACCAGCTGAGCTAGAGGTCAGACTGAGAGCAGGCTGGGGTGAAATAGATGTAAGATCGTGGTAATTATGATGCAAAGATGAGAATATGTGGACCGCGTAGCACTTATGACTTAGCACTATAACTTATTATTATTTCTATATCTTCATGTATTTCATAAGTGCTACGCATTCCATTTATTCTCATCTTTGCATCATAAGCTCTCAGTCTGCTCTCAGTCTGACCTCTAGCTCAGCTGGTAGGGCATCGGTAGTACAATTCCGAAGGTCCTGGGTTCAATTCCCAGTGAGGTCGGAAATTAATTTTTCCGAATTTAATTCCAAGGGCTTTGGCTGGAATAACCTCGTTCCCAAGCACTATAACTTATCATTATTTCTATATCTTCATACAATAATTATATGAGTCTTACAGTGACCCACAAACACTTATTTGATTTCTTTTCCCAGTCAAATCATTGATCTTCTGAATGCATGCTGTGGTCTGAAGAAGGGTCAAAACAAAGAGCCAGGGCATGGATATCTTCTGGTGATGCAGTCGTCTAAAGTGGCCACTCCTGTCTGGACAGGACATAGGATAATCATCACCCTTACAGTAGACACCAGAATCAGCCTGGCTGATATACAGGTAAAAATTTAATGATCTTGAAATTTTGCCAGTGAAATGGCAAGTTTTACAGTAGTGTAGTGCATTGATAATTTTACTGGAAAAGGAGGTGTCATTCACCCACCCCTCCCTGACTCTCCTGCTCAGGACCACCCCCTTGGGATAAGATGAGACATTGGGAATCCTGTAGATAATGTACAGGACTAGGGTAAGACAGACCCCTTCTTGGCTTCAGGACTGGGATAAGTCAGATCCGTTTACTCCCTCTCTTTTGCTCCTTCTCAACTACTAGAGTTACTTACAAGACAGTGGAAAGCCATTTTTATATTACAGCATGTCGTACCACATATTTGCTGTAAGTCAGTACCAGTATCCAGCTGATGTAAAAGAGTGACCTACAAATGACATCACTGCAAAACTGAGGTCTCATGAAGCCTGTGAAAATTTACCAGCGAAATATCAAGTGCTTATTAGAAAACTTAATTTTTTTTCATTTGCTGGGCTTGGAAATCTATAATTTTAAGAGGAAAAGTGACAGTCCTCAGTTTTTCAAATTCTCTCGATTCTGTGGCTCACATATTTCCTGGATCAGCTGAATAACATTTGTCTTTTTAAATCATTAACTGTCATTAAAAGCCAATTAACCATTAGCTATCATTAAAAATCATTAAGGGCCCCTCTGGATACCAGCTTTTACCTGAATGGGCCACCCTGTTTAAAAAAAAGGCGTCATAACCATAACCATAACCATTTTCTGTGTAACTGTCTGTTTGTCTGTCAGGTTGATGGACTTATCCTAGTGGTCAACAAGTCACACCAGGTAGAAGAACAGCGTAATTGTTTCCTACACTCCATGGGAATTTTTGTGACAATGATCAAAGAAAGAACATCCAGCCACCAGGCTATCTCTGAGTCTCTTGATTCCCTTCAAGTAAGTGCCAGTGTTGTGATAGACGTAGAAAGCTTACATGTAGTGCACAGGTGGCATAGGAGTGAGAGCTTTCACAGTGTTGTGATAGACGTAGGAATCTTACATGTAGTACACAGGTGGTGTAGGAGTGAGAGCTCTCGCAGTGTTGTGATAGACGTAGGAATCTTACATGTAGCGCGCAGGTGGCATAGGAGTGAGAGCTCTCACAGTGTTGTGATAGACGTAGAAATCTTACATGTAGTGCACAGGTGGCATAGGAGTGAGAGCTCTCACAGTGTTGTGATAGACGTGTGGAAATTATATATGTAGCAAGGGTGGAGTAGCAGTGAGAGTGCTCGCCCTCACTTGTGGAGTTTGGTTTCCAGACTCAGAGTTGTATTTGTGTAAAACAGTTAGTCCTATGGCCTATGAGTCAATAGCCCATTTAGGCTCTATATAGTATCTTTATGAAATTTTTAAAATTTTCTTTTTATTCACTTTTCATGTGAAGGAACTCTAATGAATGTAAATCTAGTTACTTTAAATTACTTTCTAACATCATGATTATTTCTTACAGGATGCGGCATTGTTACTTGGGACGAAGATTATAAATGCAGTAAACAGAGCCAATGAAAACCTTGATGGAGAGATGTTTGACGCAGACGAGAATGAAAGACACAAACTTTGTCAGAACACAGTAGAAACTATGTACGGGTGTTTTAACTTTGGCTTTGAGGTAAGAAAAGGATTACATTTGAGAAATATAAAACACACACATGTCTCTGAACTGTGACATAAACAGGCTGCTGAGAGCTGTAGAGGATGAGAGAAGTAAGCTTAGGAAAATAACACATAGCCAAGATTTTGTGCCGTCATGTTCATGTCCTCTGATATAAACACATTAGCCAACCAATCAGCACACAAGTCATATTTCAAATATTTTATGTAATGTTTAATAAACGAGCAGGAGTGTTTTAAAATAATTATATTATAGTCAGTGCTTGACACTATCAAAGGTCTCCAGTTTTTCTCCCTCTTGGGTTCAGTTCCTGGACTGTGCATGCATCCCATGTGTAGAGTTAAGTATGGTCTCTCATTCAACTTAGACCAGCCAGATCGTACAGGGTTTTCATTGGGTTGGAGATCGGAGAGTGCTCCAGCAACTGTTCTTCTGAACCTATAATTTCAAAACTTATAAAATGAAAGAAAATAAATAGATGAATAAAAATCCTGTTGTCTCAGTGTTTAATAGAATTTAATGGTTTGTTAGAAGTTGATTTTTGTAGAAGGAGCAAATGAACAAGGAATTCTACTCACATAGGATTGATTGATTGAGCTTTATTACCATAATTTTTCAAAGTTTATTTACAAGATAATATTAAAACAGGTATTGTTAATAGCTAATCAGAATAGAGGGAGCAAATGAACAAAGAATTCTACTGACATATGATTGATTGATTGAGCTTTATTACCATAATTTTTCAAAGTTTATTTACAAGATAATATTAAAACAGGTATTGTTAATAGCTAATCAGAATAGAGGGACAAAATGAACAAGGAATTCTACTCACATAGGATTGATTAGTTGAGCTTTATTACCATAATTTTTCAAAGTTTATATAAAAGATAATCTTGAAACAGGTATTGGTAATAGCTACTCAGAATAGCTAGACTAATCGAGCTGAGTACAGTATGATAGTGAGTACAGGGTTCAAACCAGTGACCATAGCAGTTAGTAACACAGCCGTGCTCTCATATTCGTTAGTAACTAATGGTTATTTTTTCTCCAGTACTTGAAGGAAATAGCAAGACTAGTGTCAGGAGATCCAAGAAAAAAACTAGGCAAATACATGCTGTGTTTTGCCAGGAAATGGATCAAGTTTGTTATGGAAAAGTGTGAGCGAGGACGAGGCACAAGACCAAGGTAACAAGACCGAAAACATGTAATCCTCTAGACAGTTTACTTTGGGACAAAGCATCTTTTTGTACACACTTCATTCAATTTCATTCTTAATTCATTATATTGAAAGGGAAAATATCATTTTGAAAAGCATTTAGGTGGTAAAATTTGTAATCCCAAATCATTTACCCTGTCCCCCCAGCCTATCCCCCCTCTGCATTCACTGAACACACATTCCCTGATAAACGAGAAAAGTAAAAATGGCTAAACTGCATTATTATTAAATTTGTTAGGCTCATTATTTCATGTGTAGTTAGCTCAGTTGGTAAGAGTGTGGTCTGTTGTGTGGAATGTGGTGGGTTCAAGCCCCAGCTGCACCAAACCTCAGGGTCTTAAAATAACTGGAAAAAATTGTTCCCTTCACAGTTCTCGGCATGAATGGTGAGACAATGTGGTGCAATGATAGAGACATTTAAAAATAATTATTATCCAAGGTGTTTAAAAAAGGTCTCTTCATTGCAAGCTCACCGTTTGTCTCCCTTGCAAAGGCACTGCTACCTTTGAAGATGGGACAGGGAACTGTGAAAGGGACTATTACATCATTCTACATATGGTTAGGCCTTCAAATCTTTTTGGATAGGGACTTAAAACTGTAGGCCTGTCTGTCTTCACCATAACCCTATATTATAAGGTAGTCATAAGACCTACTAAAGATGCTGATAGTGACCTTCAGGAGATAGCCATTGTGGTATCCTTGCCTTAACAGGTAAAAGTAAAATAAACATTAAATCATTTCCCCCACTCCCCAACAGGTGGGCAACACAAGGCTTGGATTTCTTAACCATTGCCATTGATGGTAAAGTGCTCAATTCTATGCCTGAAGCAGAATTCCAGGTAAGCAAGAATGGTACCTCAGGGCTCGATCTGTGAGTTAGCTGTGCCCTGACTTAGATCAGCCCAGAGGTTGTTTCAGGGTTCAATCTGTGAGTTAGCCAT